AATGTGAGCTGTATGTATAATTTCTAAATTTACTAGTAATAATAGTAAAAACAAACAGGTGAAATTAATATTAATAATAAATTTTATTTAATTCAAAACATGCAAAAGATTGTCATTTTAAGATGTAAACAACATACAAAATTGAAGTATTTTACATTCTTTTTTGTACTTTTTGAACTCTAGTGTACATTTTATACTTAAAACACATCTTCACTTGGACGAGCTACATTTCAAGTGCTTGGTAGTCGTGTGAGTGGTGTCTCTCATACTGGACATCCAACTTCAGACTAAGAACTAACTGCTGCTTAACAGCTGTGTCTGTTAGAAAATGTGTTCTACGTTCTAAATGCAAAGTTAAAAACTTAGGAAGCACTTGTTTTTGTCGATGTTCCTCACTTGGTTTTAATACATCATCATTCATTCATTCAACAGACGTTTATTGTTCACCTCCTATGTACCAGAACTTCAATACTGGATCTATACTGCCCTTGAAGAACTCATAGTCCAGTGAATGAAAATGATCTATGAACTGACAACTATATTACATTATAAGTGCTGAATTCACAAACTCAGGTTATATGAGCTTGATCATAAAGGATGAGTAGGGTGTTATGAGACCAAAAAAAAGAACATAAGTCATTTTAATCAGAAGGTACAGAGACACAATAAAAAACACAGTGTTCTTGGAAAACTGCAAATAGTTTAATATGACCAGAATTTAAACTTCCTGTGGGTACAAAGACAGAAACTCATACCAAGGCATGAATATACATCATAATATGCTAAAGAGTTTGACTTTCATGATGGGTACCTACTTTGTAAGTGATTTACCATGAGAAACATGGTAATGTATCAGGTGAGCTGGGGGCAGAATGGGGGCCAGTTAGGGTGCCATTGCATTAGTAAACAATACATAATGGAGAGTTCATTTGTGGCAGCAAATAGGAAAAACTGGATATACATGAATATAATTTTGGAATTAGAATCAATAGGACTTGGACCAATTAATTCATTGTGGCCGGGTGGTTTATGAGAGTGGAATGCAGGGCACAGTAAGAGACAAGAGGAAATCAGATGTGATGTGGAGGTTTCTGTGATTTATCAAGTGAAGTTTTAACCTGAACTTTAAATAATTTACCAAGGTAATTTACAAGTAGTTGAAAGAACAAGCACAGATGGCACCTGGTGGTGAAATTTGGTGACCTTGTGAACATCCTTTAAATAAAATCTTAGCTAGTACCTTATTGGATTTGATTTAGAGAATGGTTAATCTTGGGTTACCAGTGAATAAATTAACCCTTCTGGGACATAAGCAATAATGGGTGAATAGTTGGTAAAATCTCAGTTAAAAAAAACAATATGCAGATCAAAATGACAAATTTCCAAGCAAGATAGATGAAGAAAGATCACTGTAAATCTGCAACATTTTGATTTACAGAGATAATGAAACTATCCTGTTAGTATTCTAGCAGGGGGTGGGAAAAAGGTAACTTATAAAGAAATAAAAACTAGACCACTTCAAACTTTGTTATAAGTTTAAATGCTAGACACAATATAGGAATATCAAAAGATTTTGAGCAAGACAGGAGTTAAGAATATTGCCCTGGCTGGTGTGGCTCAGTGGATTGATTGAGTGCTGGCCTGTGAACCAAAGGGTCACTGGTTCAATTGCTAGTCAGGGCACATGCCCGGGTTGCAGGCCAGGTCCTCAGTTGGGGGCACATGAGAGGCAACCACACATTGATGTTTTTCTTCCTCTCAAAAAAAAAAAAGGTAAGAATATTGTACCTAGCCAGGTTTTATGCAAGATACATAATCTCAAACTTAAAAAAGGCCCAGGAAATGTAGTACTTGATGTTATTCTTTAAAAATTTTCTAGTCATTGAAAGATTACCAGTGAATATTGAAATAAGTTAAATTGAGTTATATCTGAATCATTGTTTTACTTCATTAAAATACATAACTAATTTTTAAATAAATGTAAAATTTGCATCTGAAATTTCAAATTACAACAATCTCATATTCCCATTAGAGCTTTGGGTAGTAGAAGATAAAGTCTGATGCTGGCCTTATTCAGAGCAAACATTTATGTGCTTTACTATGAAAGGTCCTGTGTCTCCGAACAGATGGTGTCGGAACAGAATAGAGGTTGAAATTCTTACTTTGTTCCTTGTACAGCCTGAGGGAAGACTTTTCAGACGTAACCTCCTTTCCTCCCATAACCTTCTGTTTTCCTCAATTCCTTCTTCCACTTGAACCATCTGATCTTCTCCCCTAGCAGTCCTTTCTAGGACCTTATTCTGGCCTTCTGCTTACCTGCATCCCTAGTCACCTCTTGGGCCTTATATATTGGGATGACAGCGGTTCAGGATTCCACTGCGCAGTCAGTTCTGTATAAAGAGGCAGAGAAGTGATTCCCCTAGGATCTTGCTGTTTTTAATCCACTGTACTTTGGGAAAATCTCCCATGGTATCTGGCATAGCCTAATTCCTTCATTTTAATGGCCTTGAAGTAGTGATTGTTTTAAGTTTTTCACGATTTATTCAGCAATTCCAAATTAATAGGCATTCACTTTGTTTTCAGTTCTCGATCACTACTAATTATGCTGCCATTACCATGCTGTACATATTTCATAGGAATTGGTTCTTTTGTACTGTTTTAATAAATGTTCTCAAACTGCTTTCAAAGAAGGCGGTATCCTTCACATTTCTACTTCATGTATGAGCACCACTTTTTCAGTGTTCCTGCCAACAGTAGGTATTATATAGATCATTTAACTTTCTGCCATTTAATTTTTTTTAACTTTCTGTTTGCTCAACGTCTCCAAGTCCTCCAGAGGCGTGTGACTGGGATCTTGACCTTCTCCTTTCCCAGGTCTTTCCTGGTCACGTACACATCCTTGCACATGTACGCAGCCTCTTAGATCCCCAGGAATATGACTAGTTCTTCAGGGTTTTATTTTAAATTCCTGCCCAGACTCCTACTTGTTTCAACTGAAACTACAACCTTAGGCAGCTAGATATTGGCAGCAGATTGCTATTATTTCTGTGATGCCCGAGGGTGGGGCCTTTTGCCTACCTGAGCTGATGTCTGTCTCAAGTGAAATTACCACAACACCTGGAGAATACAGTTTTCCAGGGATCTACAGATTGGGACAAAATATTGATTGTGCTCTAGGGAAACTGGTTTTGATAGAACTGCAAAAAAATGTCAGTCCCTTCTGTTGGCTCATACCTCTTCTTCCCTCTACCCAGACACCGAGCTGGGAGTGAGGGGATGGGAATAGCCCTCCAGCAAAATGTTCCAGTCTTCTTGTCTCTGAAGTGCAGTTGTTTTTATTGGGTAGACAGTGTTCCACTTCTTTTGTGGGTATTGTGGCTTTTGTTAACTTCTAGCACTTGGAAGTGTTTAACTTGTTTTGCTATTTCTTTCTTTCTTTTTTTTTTTTTTTGCGGGAAAGCTAGTTCACCAAGATCCTTGCTGTGTCATTCTGGAAGTTAATCTCATTTCCTAATTTTCTTAGCTATTCATAGGCATTGACTCCACTATGTGAACTTTAAGGTCATTTTATTCAAGTTGAAGAAAAGCTATTGGGATTCTAATTATATGTTGAATTTGTAAATTAATTTTGGAAGAATTGACATTTTAGCATTTTAAGTTTTCTTAAAAACATGACAAGACTGATGGACTCGATTATTTAAATGTGTACACTTTTAAATGTTCAGTGTTTAAAAATTGCAAAGAATTTAATCACCAATGATACTAGGGAAAATATTAGATACAATGATAAAGAACTTTGAATATTACATTTATTTTTAAATATAGAGAAGGTTCCATACAAGCATGAGTAAAGGATATAAGCTATTTTTGAAAGAAGAAATACATATGACCAGGAAGCCTAAGAGTATTTAGCGAATAAAAAATACAAATTAAAATAAGATAACCATTCCACTCATCAAATTAGGAAAAAAAATAGTGTTTGGGTAAGGTGTGGCAAAATACTTAACATTGCTGATGGAAGTATAAATTGGTTCAGTTTTTTTGGGATGCAATTCTACCCAGATGTCCCTTTTTTAGGAATTAATTCAAAGGAGAAATTATTTATTATTCACTCATTAAATAGTTATTGAGCACCCACTGTATGCCAAACAATGTTTGTGACTGGGTACACATCAGCGGAAAACACAGACACACTTGAAAACCTTTGCTTCCATGGGATGTGCATGCTTGTTGGTGAGGCGAACAAACAGTGTAAAGGAGTTAGGATGAGAGCGGTACTATGACAATAGGGAAACTGGGAGGGAAGACAAGTGTCGGGGCTAGAGGTGTATGTTTGGGATCTAAAGAAAATAATGTGTAAGTTGATTAATCTCTAACAAGTGGGCATAGATGCCTTATTTTCTTTACGTTTTTCAGAGTTGTTTCTATAGTGAACATATAGAAATAACAAATCAGCATACATTTTAAAAATAATCTAATATTTTTGACATATGCGTCCCTGACACATTTTATAGAGGTTGGTGTATTTTAGCAGCCTTCTAGATACTACAGTGAATCAAGTTTACTTTGGGAGAATAAATATAAATGAATTTATTAGCATGGGGTTTAATTTTGTAGCCTGTCACACTTGGGTAAAAATCTAATTTATGGTTATTTTTTTCAAATTTAGCTATGTTAAAACATGAATTCATTTAGAGAATTAAAATTTTATTTTGCTCATCTGCAATTAAGAATATTGAGAAGGCTATCAGTTTATCTTAGTAAAATTATATTGCATAAATGTTACAAGTTATCCTTTCTATTTGCTTTTCAGCACCGAATTTCAAGAAGTGATTTTACTTGATTATTTTAAATATTTTGTGTTAACTACTTCTATCAGAATCACTTTTATTGTTTCATGGTGGATTTCATTATATTTCACTTTTATTTTATAAACTATCGATGTAAGAATTTAGAGTAACTTAGAATTTTAGAATTTAATGCAGGAAAATATATTTTAGGAAAGCAGTTAAAGGATGGGAAGAAGCCAGAACCATGCAAACCTATCCTCAAGGTGGAGTTCAAAACGACTAGATCTGGGTAAGATTTTGCTTCGTTGCCAATATTCATTGTATGTAACTGCTCAGATAGCACTGAAGGCTATTCTATCGTTATTTTTGAAGGCCTACTTTAGGAAGGTCTAGCCCAGTCTTAAATTTTATGCCTTAATTCACAAAATAACTAAAATTGGTAAATTTAGGATAAAATACTTCTAAGTTCTCTCTGTATTTAGCAGTTTTGCTGCATATCCTGGAATGTTTGAATTACTTTCTTATCAAGCTTTGTACATTGTTAGATTAGTCTTCAGTTAACATAGAGTTCATTTGCTAGTAAAAATTATAAAGTAGCAATGAAGAAAAAGCTATTTTAAAACCTATTATACTATATTTTAACCTATTTATACTATATATGTTGATTATGAAATTTAACATGTATTCTTCAAAAATTATTCTCATAAGAATATTTGGCAATGCCAAAAATAAGTACAGTTTAATATTAAAGGAAGTTAATTATATTTGAAGATATTGATTGCCTTTATTAATTAGATATCAGAATTACATGGTTTTTACACTTTATATATCTTACTATATTTTTGTGTACACCAAATGTTATATTTAAGATATAATTTAGGAGACAAATTTCTAAAATTTCTAAATGTTTCCTTTTTAAATTCTACATCTCTTTAAACTCTAAAGGAATTCTTTTAGAGTATATATTCTAGTTTCCCAGAAAAAGTGTGTGGTTCTGTTTATGATAGCTATGTAAAAGAGTGGACTTATGTAGTGTACATAGTCCAGTGGGTCTCAGATTGTGGTTCCTGGGTAGCAGCATTGGCTAAGAACTTGAATTAGAGATGTGGGTTCTTGGACTCTACACCAGACCTACGGAATCAGAAGCTCTGTCTGGTGATGGAGCCCAGCAGTCTGTGCTGTACTAGACTTACAGAGTGCACATTCGAGTTTATGCAGCTGGCATATTTATTTGTATACCAAGTTATAACCACTGGTTACTATAACTGGCCTGCTTCCCTTTTTAAGCTATTCTTCAAATCTCAGTTAACTCAACCCCGTTCTCATTTGGCAAAAGACACTAGACTGAAGCGTCATTAAGATTTATATTTTCTCCCTTGATCCTCTTTAGTCTTCCTCTGGGATCCATCAGATAGACTGTGTTCAGATAACAGGTAGAATGAACTCCAAGAGTAATAGCATTGGCTTAATTGACTAGGGATGCCTTACTGTGTGATCTTTGACAGTTATTTGACTTTTTGTGCTTCAGTTTCCTCATTGATGACAGGAGTATGATAATAGGTCAAAAGGTGGTTGTGATGAATTGAGATAATTATGTATTTCAAACATTTCACACAGTGCCTGGTACATAATAAACTTTCTATAAATGATTGTCCTTATTTTACTAGGAAACCTACTACTAGCAATTTTTTTTACTTGCTATAGTTGTCCAATGGCAAAGGAATGAAATAGTAAAAGCATGGCAGAAAAAAAAAAAAAGAAACCCCAAAAAACAGAGTGGGGGGATGAAACAAAAAACTTGGTATTTATAATACAATATAAAATGAATCATCTAAACATTTAAAGTAACCATCCTAATTATCTTTTGAATTATCTGTTCATTTTAACATACTGATTGGTAATAAAGGCAAAAATCCAGGGAAGATTTTTTCCCCTCTTTTTGTTCCCATTTTCACTCCTATATGATGATAATATTTATGAGGTCTGGTTTTCTTACCGAATAGCAGCAATACTTTTCCTTTCATAGGCTCAGAAATGAAAAAAATGTCTCACTGTTTTGTATGCATTTGTAGATTCTATAAAATACATTAATAGGATTCCTTTCTTGTAGCAGTCTTCTCCAGCTTTCCATTTTTTTCCCCACCTGGGATAGGACATTCATAAATTGAATGGGTTCTTTTTCTCACTCCATCGTCCCTTTCCTTCACGTAGGTCCCTAGAATTCTGATGTGTAGCCAACATGGAGAACTAGCCCCTCCCACCTACAGCAGGTAAATTAAGCTAGACAGCTCTCACCTTTTTCCTGTCCCTAGCAGGTGTCTTGGGCAGAGGCCAACAGGTGTTCTGTTAGTTCCTGCTGACAAATCACCTGAGTTTATTACAAGAGCCATCCTTCCCTTCTCAGATTTTTCTGCATTTTCTTCTCTTTGCCTAGGCAAGATTGCCTCTCATCTTTTATAGCTCAGCATAAATGTCACTACTTTAAGGATGTCTTTTATAGCTACGTTTACTAGGTTGGGTCCCCCAGTAGTATAGTCTCAGAGCATGTTTTATTTTTCCTTTCCAGAACTTATACTTGTCATTAATAATGAAATTGTTTAAAGCATATCCTCAGCTCACTGAAAGTATGGGACATAACTGTCTCACTTCTAGTTGCCCAGCGCCTAGCATAGTGTTACTGGATGGAGGAAGAACATGATAGACTGGTGTGTAGAAAAACATAGCCATAACGAATTAGCTGTTACCTGGTAATGATAACAGCATAGTGCAACTGTGCAGCACAGGTCCACTCTGACCACAAAATGGAATCAAGATGTGTAATTTTTATTTTCTAATAAAATTAAGTGTATATTATACCAGGAGAGATCAGACATAGGGATCAGTGGCAATATCATTAATATAGCTTTTTAATAGCATCGTTATTAAAGATAACGGCAGTATTCTTTAAATGCCTGTTCCTTTAAAGAAGTCAGAATGTACGTGTTAAGCCAGTTCTGTTGAAGTGTTGCCTTGAAAAATGAAAGTGACTCAGGTGTCAGGTCCACAGATTGCTGCTTGCACAGAGTGATTAAGAGAGTGAACTCTGAGGCCGGACCACCTGGGTCTGAATCCTGCCTTGGCTCTTTACTCCGTTGTGCAATATTGGGCAAATCGACTGAGCTTTCTCTGTCTGTTTCCTCCTCTGTAAGATGAGAACAGTAGTGTCTTCCTCAGAGTTGTTACGATGATTAAACAAAACTTTATAAACCACTTGGAACATACCATTTAGACCAGCTGTCTCACATAGTAGTTTCAGAATAACATTTGATAACCTCTAACAACCTTCTAAAATGTAGTTATTCTCTGATTTTGCATCCAAAAGCAGGTCTGTGAATGGCAGGGTTGACCAGACTTTGTAATAGTCAAAGAACCTCACTAATAATCTTCCCTTGATTGAGAAGTACTGTGATTTAGGGCAGTGATTTTTGTTTTTGATTTTTAGATACCAGGTAATGGTGATCTGTTAGTGTGCTGTGAGAATAATTTTGTTGGTTGTGACCACTAATTTTTAACTTATAGATTACAGTAGGAAATAGCAGAGTGCACTGTACATTTTAAGGGTGAGTATTATTGGTTCATGAAACTTTTGTTTAGTTGTGTACATTTATGTATCTGTGTATTGTAATATGAGGTAAAATGCATTGCTTATGATGAGTCATAATCATAATGTTCAAAAGCCCCTGCTTAGTAGAAATAACTTAGGTTTTTGATTGTCAGACTTGGATTCAAACGCCAGTTCCTCCACTTTCTGTATTATTTTCAGCAAGTTGCTTGACCTCTATGACCTTCTTTCCTTACCTCAATGAAAGAAGAACAGTATCTTCATACTATTGTTGTGAAGAACTAAAAGAAATATAATGTGTTTGGCACATTGTAGGTGTTTGATTAAATTCCAGTTCCTCTTCTCTGCTTCTGTGCTCTCTTTTCACTAGTAGACTACATAAGAAGTTGTAGGCAGGGCCAGATTTTCTACTGGATGCAGCCCTGGGTGGGTTCCAGTTTTCAGATAGGTGCCCATTGATGACCTTGCAGTTCTGCACTGCAGACCATTAGAAGAGTTTGTTTCTCTCAACAAACAGACCACCATTAAAGAATCAGTAGTTTGCAGGGAAGCCTCTCTGTTAGGGAACCTAAAAGTATGTATTATCATAATTCAGTGGTAATTTAGTCACTTTAGAGAGTCATGACTAAGAGACTATCTCTTTTCATCATAACACCTGCTATGGCAAACCTTTTCTGTATGGAGCCAGAGAGTAAATATTTTAGGCTTTCCGGGCCAAATGGGTCTCTGTTGCAGCTACTCAACTCTGCTGTAGTAGCCCAATAGCAGCCCTAGACAATTCGTAAATGAAGGAATGCAACTGTGTTCTGATAAAACTTTATTTACCGACACTGGAATTTGAATTTCATATAATTTTTATGTGCCATGAAACACTATTCTTTTGTGTATTTTTCAACTATTTACAAATCTAGAAAGCTCCCTGGCTGGTGTGGCTCAGTGGATTGAGTGCTGGCCTGTGAACCAAAGGGTCTCTGGTTTGATTCCCAGTCAGGGCACACGCCTGGGTTGCAGGCCAGGTCCCCAGTAGGAGGCATGTGAGAGGTAACTGCACATTGACGTTTGTCTCTCTCTCCCTCCCTCTGCCTCTTTAAAAATAAATAAATAAGATCTTTTTAAAAGAGTTCTTTCTTTTTAAAATCTGAAAAGCATTTTTTGTTTATAGCACATGCAGAAACAAGGAGTCTGCCATTCCTTGACATGCACACACAATACATGTATTTAACTTTATCTTTAAGGGAAATTTTGGGGTTTTTATATTTTCCCCCACCCTCTCTGGTGCCAGAGTGCATTTTCAGGTGGTTTAGGATAGAAGGTGATTTCTTACATTTTAATGTTATATGTTAACTGAAAGCTGAGGTGGATTACCTATATAAGAATATGAAGCCTTGACTGGCGTGGCTCAGCTGGCCGGGCGTCCTCCTGCAAAACCAGAGACTGCCTGTTCCAGTCCTGGGCAGGTCAGGGGTCAGAGCCCAGGCCTGTGAGTGTCTGTGGAAGAGGCAACCGATCCATGTCTCTCTCACACATTGGTGTTCCTCTCCCTCTCTTCCTCCCTCCCTTACCCCTCTCTAAAAATAAAATCTTAAAAAAACATGAATAAACACAGACTATAATAAAAGCACAGGGTACATTTGTGATATTCTGGTTCTGAAAATATCTAGGTATGTTTTAATAACACCTGCAAACTT